CTTGATGGAAATTTGGCTTATAACAATCCTGCAAATATTGCACCATACATCCCTAAGATCCTTGAAATGGTTTGTAACAGTGTTATGTTATGAAATGACATGATGTGTATGCCATTCACTAAGAAAAAGTGTAAGGTGATAAGAACAAATGAGTTTATACAAACAAATCCTATGAGGAATTCAAGTTGTTAGATAGTGAATACAAACAAGTCACACAAGTAGCCTTAGGTTTAAAGGCTTGCATGAAGTCAATAGGTAAATACCATTCCTACAAATGAAGTTTAGTTGGCTCAACTTGTCCTAAAATAGTAACCGGATTCTAAGAATCTCATATCACAGATCTTTCTTGAAGGCTTTATTTTAGTACGACAACTAATTTTCCACCAAAACATCCTGAGAGTCAAATCTCAACGAGCATAGCTTTGACTATCAACCAACTTTGGACTGCACCAGATTCGACTATCTCACTACCTTCTAATGGCTAAGATGGGTCAATTAAGGTTCTAAAATTAAGTTATTGTTAATGACACCACGCAGAAGCCTAATGTTATCCTTGACTGACTCAAGGAACATCAGTATAAACCAAAGTGTCACACTAACTGTAGCCATCATATTAACCATATCGGACTACACCGTACAATCTTTATGATCTATTGCTACTTACCTAAGGCATCCCTAGATCCAGGTGTAGGACCTTTCAAATAATAAACCCAAGCAAGACCTTAAAGTTAAAGCAGACAAAGCACACAATTTAAGCAAGAAAAGTGATCAAAACTATTAAGGTAATCCCTCTTTTAAAACACTCCCCAGCAGAGTCGCCAGTTCTGTAATACGGTGGGAGAACTGACTTTTTTGGTTTTTATCTAAAATGTGTGGATAGCTAGAGTCACCGCCGACTTTCTTTTATCCAATATAAGGAAAGGCTGAAAAGAAAAGGAAAAACCTTGATATATTTTGAGTTTGGGGGGTAAGTTATGAAAAAGGAAGGTGTTAGCACCCTTTTCATCCGTAGTTATCTACGGGCTCTTAATCACTAGCTCACTTTTTGAAAATATTTTTTGTGTGTGTGTGATGTTTGAAAATATTTTTAAAAGCCAAAGTACGGGTGACTTTGTAATGATTCTTGTATCGGTCCTCAAGAATGCATACAAAGTGTTTTGAAAATATTTTGTTTGAAAAGTGTGATGTGTAAAAATGTTTTGTTTGTGAAAAATGGTTGTGAGTAAGCGATTAAAAGTTTTTACCCACTAAAGGTCGTTCTTGTTATTTTCCTTCTCCGTTAGAGATAATAATATCCACACCATTAGTTGGTAGGTGGCCCTATCTATTGGATGTGAACGGACAAGCGTAGGGTCGTCGTATGGTTATAGAAGGCAACATGTAAGGATACTTTAGCAATTCGAAGGGACTATCATCAATTTTCTCGTAGGGTCATCAAAGGGACTAGATCATTTTGTAGGCAACTTGAAGGGTCATCGAGGGATTATGATCTTTATTTGGAAGGGACCATAATGATATTGTTTAACTGAGGGTCTTGGCTAAAGTATTCCTATTTTTGTGGGACGTGACCATTAGTATTGCAAGGCAACGTAGAGAGTTTACCATAGAGGTGAAGTGTGCAAAGTGTATTGGTTTCAATTATTATTATCTAATTAAGGTTATCTATGTTTGATTTTATTCTTATCATACAAGCCTATTTACTAGCAGTTATATAAATACAAACATATAAAGGCAAAAGATAAAATGAGAATGAAAATGAGAATGTTAAAATCCTAATTCTAATTGATTTTAATTAATAAAAAGCCAAAAATCTAATTGTCCAAAAAATCAATTAATTAATATACACCCTAAAACAATTTTTTTGTTGATTTTATTATTTGGCTTCTTTCTGATTTTTTTATGTATAAGTTTTGATTAAAAAAAGTTAATTAATAATAAAATAAGTAATAAAAAAGTAAAATGAAGAAAGTAAATCAAAAAAGGGTTTTAGCATCGCTAAGGTTCGAACCCTCTCCCTTCTCTTCACACGCTTGGTTCCAACCTATTCTATGTTTCTTGTTTAACACATCTGGACATATGAAACTTATTAATAACAAAAGGATTAAGAAATTTGAAATTAGAAAATCTTTACCACCAGTGTGATTGAGGGGAGGCGTTCTGGGCACGATTGAGCGTGGTTATGGACTTGAGGAGGTTCCTGGGGATGTCAGGATAATGATTCGAGGCTTCGTTTTAGTTGAGAATGGCTGGAAAATTGGGATACAATTTGCACCTATTCTTTGAAAATTTTGTGTTTGAGAACTTGTTTCTATGGCAGCCAATCCGTCCTTGTCTTATGGAGCGTGTCCTCTATTTATAATGGATGATTTTTTAAGTTAATATTCTTGGAAGGAAACATGTGCAATCAAAGTAATTATTTGTTTCCAAAACAATTGTAAAAATTTCCAAAACATGAAGATCCCTTCCCTTCTTCATCCCTCACGATTTTGTTATGTTGTGTATGTGATCTTGGGCTTCAAAATGATCCAAAATAAAAGCCCATATGCCTTGTACATTTATTTAATTTTATTTAATTTAATTTTGAATTTAAATGAATAAAATCAAAATAAATGGAATAAAAAATTAAAATAATGCATGAGTGGACTTAGAGGTCCTTAAACATGTCATAAACACTTTTGAACTTCAAAAGTTAGGCTCATTAGCCTAAAAGTTGAAAATTGCTCAATTGTGGTTTCATGCATTTTCTAAAAAATGCTCAACTTGCACCAATCACAACTCTCTAAAAATTTGTCATATGAAGGTGATCTTGAGTTTTTTGGAAATCTCAAGATGTCCCCTACAACTCTCGTGTAGGTCACTTTTTCATTTGAATTCTTTAACTTGATGTAAATTGCTTTGACAAAAAATGTCTTTTTGTTGACTTTCAAAATGACATGTAATATTTTGGCTCATATCTCTTAAATGAAGCATTTTTTGGACCTGAGCTTAGAGAGTCAAAGTTGTATAGAATTGAATTTCCATCAGAATGGGTTTTGGTTGAGAATTTTCTGATGAAGCATGTGAAAATTATGCTTGGTCAAAGTTCAGTTGACTTCTCCTTAAGAAAACTAATTGGGTAACTTTTGTCTTTTGATGGATCTTGAGTTTTCTTGATGAATCATGATCAACCATTGATAAAATGATGAATGTAACTTCAAAATATTAATGTTGACCAAAAATCTTGAAGTTTGACTTTAAGTTGACCAATGTTGACTTTTTATCCAATACAGTTGATTTTCAATCATCTAAGCAATTATCTGAACAAATTTGTGATGTAAGGCTTGAAACTTGACATGAGGATTATTTGAAGCATATGAGGAACCATGAAATCCACTAAAGGCCTTAGAAGCTCAATTTTCCTTGATAAAAACAAAACCCTAGTTATAGGTCAATTGCTTAGGAGGAGAGTCCATCTGATCAATCTTTGATAACTCTTGAGTGTTTGAGACCTTTAGGAGCATGATGAAGTATCTTTAATCAATTTGTATCAAAAATGGGAGGGGAAATTTTGAGGTACAACACTAATGATTCTCTTCAAATTTCCATCACGCGCAAATGCAGGAGTCCACCTCTATCTTACCTTTTCTCGACCCTACTAACATTTGATCAAACAAAAACACAAATAAATGATAGTAGGGGAGCACTTATTGTGCTCCACACTAAACATTACTTTAACTACAAAATGCAAGAAATCAAACTAAAAAGCACTTAAAAGACTAAAACTAATAAAAAGACAAAGGCATGTATTAACTCACAAAATACGGGTTAACACACCCCCAAACTTGAATCATTACCTGTCCTCAGGTGATGCGATAGGCAAAGACATTTAGAACCATTCCAAGTAAAAACCCCTTCCTTTCTTAGAAGTAATCTTTTCTCAAACCCAGGGAGTTTATACTTAAGAACTTGTCTCAAAGATAGGTATAACTCATACTAGAGGCACAATCATGAACACATGTTCTATGGGCCACAGACACTCCCTGTCACGACATAACTCTTTTACCAAGGTACTCGTCCTATTTTTTAAATTTTGTTTGTTTTATCCTATGGTCCAATAACTCAAGTTTTCATCTTAAATGGGGTTTTTAACTTCATAATTATTTGAACCTACACCTAGTGCCTACACATGCATGCTTTTATTCATAAGAAAATATTTTAGTTGCCCCACCTTTTCACTAGACGGGATCTCATTTATGGTGAGTCCAACCTTCTAATTATGGTGAGGCAAGCTACTATTCCTCCAGTTTCAAGCACATGAACTTTATTTAAAAGATATCTCTTCTAGTTTCGGGCACAAGAGCTTTATTAAGGAGTGCTCTTTGGAAACTACCTTTTTGCACACTTAGGTGTGTTTATTTTTTAAGTCATGTAGTGTTCCCGGAGTGTTCCAGTCCTTATAGTCATTGTATCAATTTCCCCACTAAGCCTTAATTCTAGCTCCTATTCCATATTTGAAGCAAAATCAATTTATCACAAAGGATGATTACTTAACAGACTACTGGCGTCACGACAGGGCTTGTCTATAACATGAGATTAATTCTTAAAATACTCCTCAAGTCCTTGTTCCATATATTGTTAAGGTCCCTCGGGGAATTTTCTCTTAAGTTTTATTTTAGATAGTCTGTCCTAAGAGAGATTTTACTCGTCTTGTCCATATGTCTTGTCCACATGAAGAAAACTTAATTAACAAAACAAAAGCGATGACAGTTGAATAATTAAAAAGGCTGCAAGCAGCCAACAATAGGAACACAAAAGAAAAATGATCAAAAGGATGAAAACAACTATCACAAACTAACACAAAAATCATACAAAAACAACAAGATTGACATGATGATAAGGTGATTGGTAGAAGAGTCGAGTCATGACTCTAGCCAGTACTCCCCCCAATCTTAAAGTAAGGACAATGTCTTCACTAATCAGTTGAAGGGATGGGGAGAAACTCTGTTCTCTTAGCTTACCAGCTAGGTACAAAGCCTTCTACGCTTATGGGAACGCACAACATCTTCCACTTTCTTTTTCCTAGCCTCCTTCTTAGCAGGCTCTGGGAGAGTATGTTTCACAGCTGTCTTGACTTGAGGTTTCTTTGAAGGTGATTTATCTTTGGCTGGAGTCTTGGCTGGAGAAGGTCTCTTGGAAAACTTTTTGGCTGGGCTTAAAGTGTTGGCTTTTTTAGACCTCCTAGCCTTCTTGGGGTGACCACATGAGTCACTTCAGTACCTGAATCTCCAGGAGTCTCTTTAGATTGTTCCAATTATTTCAAACCATATGAGAATTCCCTTTCTTCATCATCTTCCTCTTCTAACAACTATGATCAAAATTCAACTTCTAACCTCTTCTTGTGTTTACCCCGTGAGATGCTTGAAAACATGCATCCACATACCATGCATCATATCATGACAGGTTTTTCCTACACAGGTCTCTCATCTTCTTACTGTTTATTTCAGTAGAGATGACTCTAGAATAGACTATCAAGGACATTCAGACTCAAAATGCTCAGCTTCAAGAAATATTCCTGAACCTATCCAACGGGCAAGAAGAAGTGAAAGCACTCCTCACTAGGGGCATGACCATGAAGAATCGTGAGGACAATAGGGATGACCAGTTGGAACGGCTACAAACTAAGATGGCTACAATGAAGATCCAGATGTTGGGCCAGATGGTGGGCCAGATGGATCTTATCCAAAACATGGCTTAGGGACAAGAAGAGATGAGAACCCTTGTCAACAAGCTTCATCAATACAGATGAAACCGTATGAAACAAACAGTCGAGGATGGGGATCAAGTCATTGATCAGCCCCTAAAGAGACAAGAAGTCCGCTTAGTAGAGAGTAAACCTTTCCAGATTGCTGCTACCTCACGAGACCAACAACAAACTTTCCAACAACAATAGGGTAATCGACGTAAGCGTGATACGTCCAATAGGTAATATACCAAACTCAACATGCCGATGTCGCAAGTCTTGCTACACATGTTGAATTTGAATTTGGTCACATTGAAGGATCCTCCTCGGAAACCTAATACTTTCGCTCCTAGTTACCATCCAAATGAAAGGTGTGCATATCAGTCTAACAATCCGGGGCAAAATAATGATAGCTGTTGGACGTTGAAACACAATATTCAAGACCTGATTGACGAAGGAGCGCTGAAATTCACACAAGATGGTCAGCTGCAATTTTTCTGTCAAAACCATACCATCTGAAGTGATATGTTTAGGCGGAGAAACTTTTCTTTATTCGAATTTTCAATTGTAATTTCTTTTGTTTGTTTGAACACTTATCTATTAATGCTAAACTTTGTTTCATTAATGCATTGCATATGTTTGTCTTGAATTAATCCATTCATTTTCACTCTATTTAAACTATGCTTATTTCTCCCTTTATGATATCCAACTCGTATTCTAAAAAGTTGCAAGCCTTTAGAGGGAGGATGACGAAAAAATGCCATAATCTCATATAATATGCTTTTGAACAGACCTTGTTAACGATGTACAAGCGTTTCTTTCAATCCCTAAACATTGGTGTTATAAGGAAGATAATCCATAGTCAACCCCTTTGAGCCAAAGAAGTAGGAGTTTTCTTTTTCAACACAAATTGAAACCTTTATTCAAAACCTGGGGCAGGGTTGTCTCTCAGTTAATTCAAATACGCGTTCATTCATAAGCTTTCACTTCGTACACAATGAGTGACATCAAAAAAAATTCCTCTGGAATAAAAAGACGGTGACGGTTCCCCATAAAATAGGAAGTCGTTATTTCTCAAAAGAAAAAACCACTAAGTCAAAACCTACGAAGGAGACTTAAGAAAACTGGGGCATCCCGCTGACTGTAATCTAAAAACAAGAACAATCGGGCAAAAATAAGGGATAATAAATCAAAAAGAGGTCACTAAAAATCCTCGACAACATGAAAAATGTTGCAAAAATGACTGCCTTCCAACAAACTTAACATGTCTGAACCATCACCAAAACATCATTTCAGACTCAATTGGAGTTTAAAATGAAAAATTAACTGATTTTAGGACTGAAGAACATCACGAAGAACGGGCGGGTACAAATACACTTTGAGCCTTATCCTTTGTTTCTTAAATCGTGAACCAGGCCACGATACAATCCTTTAAAATTCCTAATTGAAGCACGGGTTAGTTCGAAAGCATACTGTTGCAAAAGGTATCCTGACTCCTGTAAGGCTTTATTGTAAATCCCGAGTTGAATTCATATTCTTACAAAATTCTTTTATCTTCTAAAACACATTTTAAAAACTTCAAGACAAACATAAACTTTGAATTATTTTGAATACCACTGTTTGCATATAGCTATTTGTTTGACAACAGAGAAATTCGCATGGCGAATATCCATGGAACGTAAATTCTTAATGAGAATAATCAGTTCAAGTGGGAAGACACTTCCAACGACAAATCTCATATAAGAAAGGGAGCATGGCATGTGATTGTCAAAAACCATCTAGGGCAGTCAATATTCCAAGAAATCTCTCAAGAAATGCTGAATAACCAGAGGCAGGTCTGAATCTCAATCACTTGGGGCATTGAGCATGAATTCCAACAAAGGGTTACATACGACCAAGCAAACATTTTCTGGGAGCTCAACAACACTTACCACTAGGGGCAGTGACAAATTTCCCACAAATTCCTTTTCATAGGGTAATCCCTAGTCAAGTCCCGATAGAGTCATCTCTATAAGGTTCTCCCAACAGAATAATCTTCACAGACGAGGGTCCAAAACCCTCAAGGCCAAATTCATGGATATCCCCATAAAATTGGATCCATGCAATACCCAGTCAGAATTTTAAATCTCCGGAAAACCTCTCCCTAACTGAGTTGATCTCAAGAATCCTCGAGGAGTTCTACCAAAAGAAAACACCTCTCCAGCAGATTGGCAACAAGGTTTATTTTCCCAACAAACTACAGATTCCTCAACTTGAATTTCCCCGCAGGCTATCACAAATCAAGGGACCATAACCCCTCTTCCCCAATAAACTTTCCTATAATCCCTAGTGAGATGCTGCAAAGCCTGGGATACAACCATATAACAATTAACTTCTTTATCCCCAAAAAGTTGTAAACTTCCTTTCTCTTCCATCAAGAGATAACTCCCCAGTAGAGCAACAAACAATTAAAACTCCTGAAATCCTTTCCCCAAGAGTTTTCTTCTCAAGCAAAATCAACATTCCCCATCAGAGTTCTCCTCAGACAACAAAATAGGAAACCCCAACGAAAACATTCTAAAACAAGGTCTGGAGAGGTGCATAATCTTCATCCCCAACAACAGTCCGGGATTTAACTTCCCAAAAGCTCCCCACCATTTGTCAAGGATTTATTTTCCAAGACAAATATACATTTTAACAACATTCATAGCATATGCATACAAAATACATATAGCACAAATCTCATTTATTTTGAGAACATCATTACACAATGCATACATCATGACATTGCATACAACTAACTCTTGGCCTTTTCAGGAAAATATCAATCAACATATAAGCGTCATCAACTATCTGTAAACTTCTCCAAGACAAAATCAAGCTTGGATTTTTTTTGATACCTGCTGAAGTAGTATTCATCAAAGATTCCTTCATTACCCCTTGGAGTAGTAGTTGTCCAGATTACTTCATTACCTTTGGAGTAGCAGTCGTCAAAGATTCCTTCATTACCTTTTGCAGTAGCAGTCGTCAAAAGATTCTTTCATTACCTTTTGGAGTAGAAGTCGTCAAATATTCCTTCATTACCTTTTGGAGTAGCATTCGTCAAAGATTCCTTTATTACCTTTTGGAGTAGCAGTCGCCCATATTCCTTCATTACCTTTTGGAGTAGCAGTCGTCAAAGATTTCTTCATTACCTTTTGGAGTAGCAGTCGTCAAATATTCCTTCATTACCTTCTAAAGTAGTAGTCGTCAAATATTCCTCCATTACCTTTTGGAGTAGCAGTAATCAAAGATTCCTTCATTACCTTTTGGAGTAACATTCGTCAAAGATTCCTTCATTACCTTTTGGAGTAGCAGTCGTCAAATATTCCTTCATTACCTTCTGAAGTAGTAGTCATCAAATATTCCTTCATTACCTTTTGGAGTAACAGTCGTCAAAGATTCCTTCATTACCCCCTGAAGTAGCAGTCGTCAAAGATTCCTTCATTACCTTTTGGAGTAGCAGTCGTCAAAGATTCCTTCATTACCTTTTGGAGTAGCAGTTGACAAAGATTCCTTCATTACCTTTTGGAGTAGCAGTCGACAAAGATTCCTTTATTACCTTTTAGAGTAGCAGTCATCAAAGATTACTTCATTACCTTTTGGAGTAGCAGTCATTAAATATTCCTTCATTGCCAGTTGAAGTAGTAGTCGTGAAAGATTCCTTCATTACCTGTTGAAGTAGTAGTCATCAGATTCCTTCATTATACTTTGTAATCAAACTTAGACTTGGTTTATTTTTTATCAACAATCACCTTTGGATGGCATCTATAAGCCCATCTCAGACAATTCTCCATCATCTCTCCAAATGGAAAATGTACGCCCATTCCCGACACAATTAACCACCACATCATCGAGTGAAAATTTCTAGGCACTCTAGTGTTCAATCATCTTCCACCTTCGAGTCACGAATGGCAAACTGGCCAATCTAACTCTTCAGGTTTAAGAAGATTGAATAGGGGCAGCTGTTGTACCCTAAAATTTTCCCTTTCATTTCTCATGACATTTTCAAAAAGTTCAAATTTGCACAAGTACAATTGGGCTTTCAAGCATCAAATTGAAGAAGAGCATGCATGTTTCGATTTCACATCCTTCAATTGGGATTTTTGCATCTTTCGATGCAAGTTTGAGTTACATCCTTCGATTGAACATTGGCCCCTAACATGCCTTCTTTGATTCACAAATCAATGGCTATATGCAGGCAGCCATCGATTACACCAATGACCCCTTACAAATTGGCTTTTGGTGCACATGGCAATGGCCTCCTTCAGCTTTCCTTCGATTCAGAAGGCGTTGGCTTCCTACTGTAGCCCTTAGATTCAAAAGACAAGTGCCTTCTCTACGCTTGCCTTCAATTAATAAGGTAGGAACTTCCATCATGCCAGCAGGCACAAGGCAATGGCCTCCTGCATCTTCCTTTGATTCAGAAGCCAATGGCCTTCTGAAAGATTTCCTGCAATTCACAAGGCAGGGACCTCCTGTATGCAAGCTTTGATTCCACCCTTGAAAACCTTCAACACACATACTTTCTGCAGTATGACATACCTGGGTGTCCCATTCGAAGGACATGCATTGACATACCCGGGTTCCC